GAGTTTTTAAAGATGTGGAGTGTACTTACTGCCTGAAAGAGTGATAGAAGCCAATTCCAAAAGAAACTGCATAAATATTTGAAAATGAAAATCTTTACAGGGCTATGGGCAAAGTATAAGGGAATTGGCCAAATTGGTCAATTGATCAATCCCTCTTCACCTACCTGCTCGGTCCTCACCTCCCCTACCCCAGCCCATCATCATCAGCATATACAGCACCTTTTCCCTAACTGCTATCAGTTTTGAAATGGGGTCACTAAATTTGAAACGAACTCTGCTTTCTCTTCACAGATGCTGCCAGAACTGCTGAGCTTTTGTGGGTTTTTTTTTTCTGTTTTCGTGTTTTTTTAAAATATTCTTTTGGGAACTGATAGTATATGCCTGATTTTTTAAAATTCATTCACAGGATGTAGACATCACTGGCTAGATCAGCATTTATTATCTATTCCTATCTGGCCAGAAGGCAGTTAAGAGTCAACCACATTGCTGTGGGTCTGGAGTCACTTGTGGGCCAGACCAGGTAAGGATGGCAGTTTCCTTCTCTAAAAGACATCAGAGAACCGGATGGGTTTTTCCAACAATTGATAACAGCTTCAATGTCATCATTAGATTCTTAATTCCAGATTTTCATTGAATTCAAATTCCACCATCTGCTGAGACAGATTCAAACCCAGGTCCCAGAACATTAGTTGGGTCTCTGGATTAACAGTCTAACGGTAGTACCACTAGTCCATCACCTCCAACTGAGATATCAAACCGAAGGAAGACTGTGTGAACCAAGTTTTATTTGAAAATGATACATCACCTCGTATCAATTCAAACTCAGACTACGAATTTCAATGAATGGAAAACAAAAGCTTTGTTAAGTAAAATAAAACATGGGATACCCAACACATCTCATTTTTGTAAACAAAAAGGTGTCTGGAAAGCAAACTAGCTATATTAGATGACATAACACAGTGTGGAGCTGGAGGAGCACACAGGGCAGGCAGCATCAGAGCAGCAGGAAAGTTGACGTTTTGGGTTGGGACCCTTCTTTAGAAAAAAAATTAGTGGCTAGCAATGGTTTGTGTGTAATACCAGACTGTGATAACAAGGCCCGGTGTGTGGGGGTTGGGGTAAGGACATGGGAGAGGTCAAGCCCTGAAGTTGTTGAACTCAATACTGTCCAGAAGGCTGCAGAGTCCCCAAATGGAAAATGAGGTGGTGACCTTCCAGCTTGCGCTAAGCTTCTCTGGAGTACTGCAGCAAGCCTGAGACAGAGATGTTGGCCAGGGAACAGGAGGGTGTGTTGAAGTGGCAGGCAAATGAAATTTCCCTTACCTGTCCACTGTGCACTCTGTAGTCACAAATTTCTTCCAATACTTCTCCTCCATTATCCAGCAAAGCAGGACTATATTCGATTATCCCACAAATATGAGGCAGAGTAACCTTATTTAGCAACAATAAATACTCTACTTGATTTGATGTACCTTATAAGAGTATGTCTCTCTCTATGTGTAATCTTCTCATCACTGGTGAAAAGGATTGTATGATATGGGATAATAGGTTCACAAGTTGGCAGGATACCACGGGCCACATGACACACAATATCTAGGATTCCATTGTAGACTAATAAATCATCAACAAGCAGCTGTGAAACAACGGAATATGAAATAATATCACAGACAATACTGAACACCAAAATAATTTTACATCGATATATCACAGTAAATATGCTGACGTAAAACTGTAAACAAAAACTGTTTCATTATATTTCTGAATGACAATTGTGATGCAATTTTCATTAATTAAACTCCCCAGTTAGATTGTTTATTTAATTCTATTTTAAAAGATGTGGCTGCTGACCAAAATTCACTCGCTATGCTTTCCAGTCGTAGCATCAACAATAATGCACTTAAGATCTTTTCATAACAAACATCAGCTGCAAAAAAAGAGGCCTGCTACAGAGAGATTCCTGAAAAGGTATGATTATGTTATATAAATTAGATGATCATGCTGGTGACGAATGTGGATCCAGTATAAACGTTGGCTACTAAGAAGCATGCAAGCAATAACTTTAATTACTTTAACATACTTAAGATGACATACCCCAAATTCTTTGACCCCTCTTTGAGGGGTTTTCGAATAATTCCAGAGTTTAATCATTGATACAGCAATGGGTTGATCAAAAATGATATAAACCCGATTTACCTGCAACAGCAAGAGTATTTTAGATTCATGAACTCTAATTGCATTCACAACAACATATGGATCAGTGTGAGTAGTTTTTATTGCAATGATGAGAATGGCAAACTCTTAATAGTTTATTAACATAGTTGATACAGCATTACCTTTTATCATCAATCCACAGTTGTCCAGCTTCACAAAACAAACCTTATCGATATTCTGACAGGATTATACCAAAGACAATCAAATAAGCAGCAAGAGGTGCACATAATTAATCAGATTTTATTCTTTTCAAGATAGAACAACCACTGGAGAGAAAATGTGTTTCCTACCAAACCAGGAAGAATTGGAGTTAACCACATATGTCTCCCGTCATTTGTGTCATTTATTCCATCAATTAATTTTTCTGGCGTTCGAACATCTCCCGAAACACTTTCTAAAACATTCACACTATCTGGAAAAGCAGAAATGTCTGATAATGAAGAGTTAAGAATATTCTGAACAACAAATTTATTTGATCAAACTTCAACAGTAACAATCATTTTTCTTTATAATTCAATAGATGACAGTGGACATAGATTGCTTAGCTACATTTAATCAACAGCAAGTATGAAACTGCAATTCTTCACTAATCATGATTCAGCACATACAATTAAAACATTGTGAACAAGTTCATATTTTGGCTGCATCCAAATGAATGATATGTATTGCAGTAGTAAGACTGGTAGCCCTGCCTTCCTGTGCTCTGACTGGTATCTTTTCTTTATACACACAATATATACCCTGTTTTATATGGGGTATGACCTTAATATAAACAAATAGGCCAATAATTCATTCCCGTTAATCAAGATCCATCAATTCCAAACGACAAATAGTGACTGAAGGGGAACTGAGGACAGGGAGTAAAATTGGCCACGCATGGGTCATTAGCACAGAGGAAATAGCGCATTCAAGCGTAGTCTACAAATTATTTCAGGGCTGTAGAGTTGGTTTGTAAGAAACTAAAAAGCAAATATACCAAAAATGCTTTCAGCAAACACACAAAATAAGATTAACAAATCCAGAATCTAAAGATTCAAATTAACTAAATTTTTGAAGTTAGGAGCCACATTTACAGTTTTATATGAATTCACTTACAGTAAAACATTAAAAAAAAAGACTTGCAGTTCATGGCTCAATTCATTCTGACCCTGATCTCGGAGGTGTTAGAGTTTGGAAATTCAATTGCCTCTAGTTTCGTCAAACTTTCTGATAAGTCCTCTTTAATTTACAGCATTTTAGTTTTAGGAACAGGGGCTATTTTTAGAGTCATACAACAAAGAAACAGACTCTTCGGTCTAACTCATCTGCACTGACCAGACATCCCAATCTGACCTAGTCCCATTTGCAAGTATTTGGCTAAATCCTTCCTTTTCATATACCAGTCCAGATGCCTTTTAAATGTTGTAATTGTACACACCACCACCATTTCCTCTGGCAGCTTGTTCCGTACATACACCATCCTCTGCATAAAAAAGTTACCTCTCAAGTCCTTGTTAAATCTTATTCCCCTCATCTTAAACCTATGCCCTCCGGTTTTGGACTTGCCCACCCGAGGAAAAAGACCTTGGCCATTCACCCTATCCATGCATCTCATGATTTTATAAACCTCTATAAGGTCACCCCTCGGTCTCCAATGCTCCAGGGAAAAAAGCCACAGCCTATTCTGCCCCTCTATATTATTTAGACCCTCCAGTCCCAGCAAAATCCTTGTAAAGCTTTCCGCACCCTCTCAAGTTTAACAATAGCCTTCCTGTAGAAGGGCAACCAGAATTGTACGCAGTATTCTAAAAATGGCCTCACTAATGTCTTGTGTAGCCACAACATGATATCCCAACTCCTATACTCAATGTTCTGACCAATGAAGGCAAATGTGCCATATGCCTTCTTCATCACCCTGTCTACCTGCGACTCCACCTTCAGGAACTATGCACCTGCACCCCTAGGTCTCTTTGTTCGGCAACACTTCCCAGGACCCTACCATGAACTGTGTAAGTCCTGCCTGGGTTTGCCTTACCAAATGCAACACCATACATTTATCTAAATTAAAGTCCATCTGCCACTCCGTGGCTCATTGGCCCATCTGTCAAGGTCCCGTTGTACTCAGGGATAAGCTTCTTCACTGTCCACTGCATCATCTACTTTGGGTCATCTGCAAACTTATTAACCATACCTCCTGTATTCACTCCAAAATCATTTATATAAATGATGAAAAGCAGTGGACCCAGCACCGATCCTTGTGCCACACCTGGTCGCACGCCTCCAGTCCAAAAAAAAAACCCTCTACCACCACTCGCAGTTTCCTACCTTCTAACCAATTTTGTATCCAATTGTCTAGCTCCAACTGGATCGCATGTGATCTAACCTTACTAACCAATCTACTATGCGGAACCTTGTCAAATGCATTGCTGAGGTCCATATAGACAACGTCTACTATTTTGCCTTCATCAATCTTCTTTGTCACCTCTTCAAAAAGCTCAATCAAGTTAGTGAGACACAATTCCCAACACACAAAGCCATGTTGACTACCCCTAATCAGTCCTTGCCTTTCCAAATGCATGCAAATCCAGTCTTTCAAAATCTCCTCCAACACCTTACCCACCACTGATGTAAGGCTCACCGATCTATAGTTCTCTAGCCTTTCTTTATAGCCTGTCTTAAATAACTGCACCACATTAGCCAAGCTCCAATGTTCCAGCTCCTCAGCCATGGCTATTGATGATACAAATATTTCAGCAAGGGGCCCAGCAATCTCTTCCCTAGGTTCCCACAGAATTCTGGGAAACAGCTGATCAGGTCCTGGGGACTTATCTACCTTTATGCATCTTAAGACATCCAGCACCTCCTCTTCTGCAATATTAACTCTTTTCAAGACATCACTATTTATTTCCCCAAGCACCCTCGTTTCCATGTCCTTCTCCACAGTAACTACTGACGCGAAATCACCCATCTCCTGTGGTTCCACACATAGACAGCTATGTTGATCTTTAAGAGGCCTTACTCTCTCCCTAGTTATTCTTTTGCCCTTAATATACTTCTAGAACCTCTTTCAATTCTCCTTAATCCTATTTGCCAAAGCTATCTTATGTCCCCTTTTTGCCCTCCTGATTTCCCTCTTAAGTATACTCCTATTGCCCTTAAACTCCTCAAGGTATTCACTCAATCCCAGCTGTCTGTACCTGATATGCCTCCTTCTTTTTCTTGACTAGAGTCTCAATTTCTGTAGTCATCCCGCATTCCCTACACCTACCAGCCTTGCCCTTCACACTAATAGGAACATACTGCCTCTGCGCTCTCAGTATCTCATTTTTAAAGGCTTCCCACGTCCCAATCGTCCCTTGACCTGTGAACAGCCTCTCCAAATCAACTTTTTAAACTTGCTGTCTAATACTGTCAAAACTGGCCTTCCTCCAAATTAGAACTTTAACTTTTCATAATTATTTTAGAATTAATAGAATTATGATCAATTGACCCAAAGTGCTCCCCGACTGATAACTCTGTAACTTGCCCTGCCTTATTTCCAACAGAAGGTCAAGTATAGAGATAGCAAGAAGTGCAGATGCTGGAGTCAGATTCAATACAGTGTGGAGCTGGAGGAACACAGCAGGTCAGGCAGCATCAGAGCAGCAGGAAAGTTAACGTTTCAGGCTTACACCCTTCATCAGATGGTCAAGTATTACTCCTTCTCTAGTGGGCACATCCACATATTGAATAAGAAAGCTTTCTTGTGCATGCTTAACAGGATTTACATAACACTCCCCATCCAATCTCTTAACACTATGACAGTCCCAGTCTATGTCTGAACCTTAAGCAATTAGCAGGCTGATCTGTGGCTTAATTCCATACATCTGCCTTTTCCCCATATCCCTCAATGCCTTTCGATAACAAATTTTTGACAACTATTTGTTACTAATTTAGCATCAATTGACACGTGGAATAGATTTTCAAACTTCTCCTAAAAAGGAGTACGGTGAATAGGAGGCAAGGAATAAGCTGTGTGTTTCAAAGAGGGAATCCCAGAGTTAAACCTAGGTGACTGAAATTGTTTATAGATGAAGTGGGTGTGCATTGAGAAGAGATATAGGGAATACACAAGGCAGGAGTCAGTAGAACAGAAAGTACGTGCAAGGTTGGGCAGTCTTGAATGATTGAAGAGAAATTGGAAGAGTATGTAGAGATTCAACCATAAGCACTTCTTCAGAAAGTTGAATAGTTCCTTTCATATTGACAATTAAAAATATTTGTGCTATAAAAGAAGTTAGGCATAGTCTAAAATATTCACCCTTGCATCAGATTAAACAATGCCTCAGCTTTGTTAAAAGGCAGCAGTACTGGAATGATTTTTTAATTGCAAATATTATTCAGAAAGCTAATCAATAATTTGACTTTTTGATTTGGCAAAGGATACTATTCTCTGTCAAAAGAATTTTTTCTCCATTATCACCATAGAATTCTAGTCCATTAAGACCGATGTAGTAAGGATCTCCCCAGCTTGTCAGCAACTGTAGCTGGAAAATAACTGGCAGAAACTAGATCAAGGAAAGTAATCTAGTCGTGAGCATGAAAAAATATCAGACTAATTTTTTACTAGTATTAGCACAATATTTCTTGTTAATGTTCAAATGCCAACATAATATTTAACAATAGGACTTATTTTAAACAAAAGATAAATGAAGCATAAAATCTACTGCCAACTAAATGCAAAAGCTTTTGTTAAGAATTATTTTTGGTACCCTGGATTATAAATCACTTCATTAAAGCACTGGAATTTAAATACTTCCAAATTTACTGCTAATATGTTTGTTCGTCTTTACAAAGATATTAGCTCACAAATGTTTTTACTTGAAACTTTTATGCCTGTTAATTCAACAAAGTACTTTAAACAAGGTTATGCTGGTATTAAAATAGTAATTACAGGACTCTCACACAAATATAATATTTATGCATTTATTAACATTGTCAAAGTAATTCCAAATTTACACAAGTTAACCAAGGATATTTTAAGCAAGAAGAAAAAGTCTTGCATATCTAAAACAGACTGCTTGTATTAATTAAAGTTTTATTGTTTAAATAACCTGCGTTAGAACTTGAAACATATTGGATTTGCATCTGTCATAATATACATACTCTTAATACACATCTGCACTCAATCAAATTTACACATTTCATAACAGCACTATATTTGTTTCAAGATAAACAGTCTACTGGCTGAGAACAGTACAGGATTCAAAATAGATAGTCAACTTATTTTTAGAACTACTTCCACAGAATCTCTACAGTGTGGAAACAGACCATTTGGCCCAAAATGTCCGCACTTCTGCTCACACTAAATGTGGTCATTAGTCATTTAATGCAATTCAGCAAGATAAACTAAAATGAGAACTCATTTTGAGAAGGGAGAAGAGTTTGATCTGTTGATCACCACAGACCATAGCAATCGGTAAAGTCCATCCCAGAACGTGCTGTACAGTGTGCTTGATTTGCTGAAACGGAGTGATGTCCATTTTTCTGTTCAAACTTATTTTATCTTTTTAAAAAGCAACTTGTTCAGACCTAGCTCTGGAGCATGGGGAAAGTCAACTCAGGCCTTCTGGCCCAGAGGTAGGGGTATGGCCATTGGATTCAACGGTCTCATTTATTGTATTTACTGATTTTCCTCTCCAGGGACCTTGCAACTCAGATTCAAAGAATTCCTACAACAGTGTGGAAGCCGGCCATTTGGCACACTGAGTCCACAGCACTCCTCCCACTCAGACCCACCCCCTACCCTATCCCTGTAACCCTGCATTCCCCATAGCTAATCCACCTAGCCTGCATATCCCTGGACACTATGGGCAATTGAGCATGGCCAATCCACCTAACCTACACATCTTCGGACTGTGGGAGGAAACCAGAGCATCCAGAGGAAATCCACGCAGACACGGGGAGAATAAGCAAACTCCCCATAGACAGTCGCCCGAGGCTGGAATCGAACTTGGGTCCTTGGCGCTGTGGGCAGCAGTGCTAACCACCAAGAGGAATTTGCGGATTCAGTGCTAATCACTGAGCCACCATGCCGTCCCCAGAGGCAAGACTGCGACCTGCTGAACCATTAAAAAGGGAGGCATTTATATTTATTTTACTGAAGATTTAAATGGGGGGTAGGTGTTTATATTTAAACTGAACTTAAGTAATTGCTGCAGCTGCACAAATAGGCCAATTAATTTTTTTTACTAAAAAATACCAAAAGAACTGCGGATGCTGTAAATCAGGAACAAAAACAAAGTTGCTGAAAAAGCTCAGCAGGTCTGGCAGCATCTGTGAAGGAAAAAACAGAGTTAACATTTCGGGCCCAGTTCTGACGAAGGGTCACCGGACCTGAAGCGTTAACTGTTTTCTCCTTCACAGAATCTGCCAGACCTGCTGAGCTTTTCCAGCAACTTTGTTTTTGTTCCTGAATTGTTTTTTACTAATTGGTCAATGGCTTCATGTACCAAGAATAGATCAATTTACCGAATTTGGACTAATGAAATTGAAGATAGCGTAATTATTGATTAGTATGAGAATCAGATCCAAGCGAGGCTGTAATTGATCTCTAGTTACTGCAGCTACAGATAATTAATGGTGGACTAACATGGTTATTGATGCATAGTCACCCATGATGAATGCTCCCAAAGGGCACAAATGGCATAAACTCCTTTCCAACTTGAAGACATGGTCAGTCTCGGTGACAGAGATCATGAGGACTCTTGTGGCATATTGGTAATGTCCCTACCTTTGTGGGGTCAAGTCCCTTCTGCTCCTGACATGTGCCATGACAGGATGATTAAAAATATCTACATCTGAAATAGAATAATAGATTGTGGAAACTCCAGCTTAAAGGGCACAACTCGTGATTAAATTCAATGATCATTTGGGTTATTTAGTTTCATTCTGTTGCCCAAGTGAAAGTCACAAGGAAATTCCAAACCCATACACTATTAGGGTGAGAGTAACACTCTTTTGGTAGCAGACTTCCTGAAGTTAAAGGATACAGCCACATGGCATCAAAGGAGATTCATAATCCATACTAGCCTGTTCCACGTTCCTAAGACAGTTCCTATCAAAAATATTAGTGTGCAATTCAGAAATGTGCAGAATTTAGTATGTATATTAGGATACAGGGAACATCCTATATTGTCATCAATACATTATGCTAATGATACTGAATGATTGGTTGCAGCTTCCACAATTGCAATCTTACTAACTTACAAAATGTTTTAAATCAACAAACCAACTTTTGTAAAACAAACATATAATGAATAGTTGGAAAGTCACCATTTATTCTTAAAAGGTTTAACATAATATTTCATATAATTTCACGATTATATAGTTTCAAACATAACTAAATTAACACAAACAAATCTAACCTAAAGATTGTCACCTTAGATTTCGTGTGTTTGCAACTAAAAAGGAATAAACATTTGCTGCTGAGAAAACTCATATGGCTTTTAGTGTTTATCAATTTTATATTTTAATGTTATTGGAGCTGTGAGAAATTCAGAATTGTCTTGGCCTGTCTATGCTGGTTTTAAAACAATTTCAAAATAATGTACAAGAAAATATATAATGGAAATGCTTTTACCCAGTTTGCTGCTTTGCTGCTACTTTGCTGGTCCTCTGGAGATAATCTACAAAGAGAATTTCTTGAGCAAAGTCAAAATGGCATACGCCTGGCCCTTTTCGGAGGAGGAAGCCCTCTGGTGGTGAAATGCAGTATCCATCAAGGGTAACATGGACAACTTTTGCCTAGTTAAGATTTAAAGGAAATACCACTTTACCAAACAGTTTCTTTCTCTTTTCCCGGATTTATATTAGACTGTTGGTGAAGATCAGTTAAGGAAACTACAGATGTAAACGTAGCATTAAATGTTAGTTACATCTTGTCTCCTACAACGTCCATAAATTTTATTCAGAAGTGAAAAATGCTTTTACTTAAATGTTACAATTATTCACTGGTTACAGATTACAATTTGTGCAGAAAAACGTAAAGTATTGCATATGGAAAGTAAGGAAAGTGACATGCATACTTTACAAACTGTTGAAATTCATAAAAACATACACAGAAAGGAGGAGTAGGCCATTCAACCCCATGAGTCTGATGCGTCATTCATAATGATCATAACTGATCATCGAGTTCAAGACCCTAATGCTGCCCTGCTCCTGAACCCCTACTATTCCTTGATCCATTTAGTCACTAGGGCTAGGTCTGCCTCCTTCTTGAAAACACTTAACGTTTTGGCCTCAACCACTTTGTGGTAGTGAATTCCACAGGCTCACTATTCTCTGGGTAAACAAATTTCTCTTCATCATCTCAGTCTTAAAAGGGTTGCCTCTTAAACTATAATCCCTGGTTCTGGACACCCCCCTCCATTGGCAGCATCTTTCCTGCATCTAACCTGTCCCGTTAGAATTTTCTAGGTTTCTATGACATTTCCCCTCTCATTCTTCAAAACTTCATTTTGAGCTACAAAACTACAATCCTAACCAACTCAATCCCTCCTAATACTTTAGTTCTGTCATCCCAGGAATCAATTCGGGAAACGTACGCTGTACTCCCTCTATATCAAGAGCCTCCTTCCTCAGATAAGGAAACCAAAACTATACACAATATTCCAGCTGTGGCCTCACCAATACCCTGTATAATTGCAGCAAGACATCCTGTTCTGTTCTCAAATCCACTCGCTAGAGTGACATAAGGTTTGTCTTCTTTACTGCCTGCTGCACCTGTGTATTTGCTTTCAATTCCCTCTCAATTTACAGCCATTCAAATTATAATCTGCCTTCCTATTTTTGCTACCAAAATGGATAACCTCACTTTTATCCACATTATACTGCATCTGCTATGAATTTGCCCCCTCACTCAAATCACGCTACAACATCTCTGCATTCTCCTCACACCTCACCCTTCCACCCAACTTTTGTCATCTACAAATTTTGAGATATTACATTTAGATCCCTCATCTAAACCATTAACATATATTGTGAATAGCTGCGAACCTAGTGCCCAGCAGCACCCCACCAGTCACTGCCTGCCATTCAAAAAAAGACCCATTTATTGTTGGTCTTTGTTTCCAAACTGTTAAACAATTTTCTCTCCATCTCAATTCACTATCCTCCAATCCCATGTGCTTTAATTTTACACATCAATCTCTTTTGTGGGATTTTGTCAAGAGCCTTCTCAAAGTCCAAATAAACCATATACACTGGTTCCCCCAATCAATTCTCCGTGTTACATTCTCAAAGAATTCCAGTAGATTTGTCAAGCATGCTCTCCCTTTTGTAAATCCATGCTATGTCATATTCTATCGCTGTTTTCTAAGTGCTCTGCTGTAAATCATTGATAATGGACTCCAGCACCTTCCCCATTACTGATGGCATACTCACTGTCTATAATTCCCTGTTTTCTGTCTACCTTCCTTCTTAAATAGTAGGGCTATATTAGCTACCTTCCAATCTGTAGGAACTGTTCCAGAGTCTGAGAAATCTTGGAAGATAACCACCAATGCACCCACTGTTTCTAGGGCAATTTCCTTATGTATGCTGGGATGTAGACTATTAGGCTCTGGGGATTTAGCAGCCTTCAATCTCATAAATTCCTCTGACAACATTTCTCTCCTAATACCTATTTGCTTCAGTTTCACCCTCCCACTAAAGACTGTGTTCTCCATCATTTCTGTTACGTTATTCCTGTCGTCCTTTGTGGAGACAGAACGGAAGTATGAATTTAGTTTGTTAGCCACTTCTTTGTTCCCCATTATAAATTTCCCCATTTCAGAGTGTAAAGGGCCTACACTAGTTTTTTACCAATCTTTTTACCAAGGGAAATGGCCTTGGAGTCTTAGTAAACTGAATCTGGAAATCTACTGTGGCATAGCAATCACAGAAGCTAATCACATGTTCACTTAGAAAAGTCAAGACACATCTGAGAAACTAGTCGTCAAACTGCTCTGGTTAGATCATTATTTGAACATTGTGCCCAGTTTTAGTATTGAAGAAACAAGCAAGGCAGACAGTGCAGGGAAGAGACGAAGTTCATCCCTAGTGTCAAGAGTCTGACTTATCAGAAAAGGCGAGCTGACTTAGGCTTTTCTGTCTTGGAAGAAAACAAGTTAGGGGCATCCTACTGAGATGCATAAGGAGCAAACCATATAGACGGAATAATGCTTTCTATTGAATTCTGGGAGAAGGGGTCCTGGGTAAAAAAATACTAAAGTAATAAATCATAACTGCATCGTGAAAAGCGTGATTAACAGCTTTTTGCACGAACTGTTTCAAGTTCATGAAATGCTCAGGAAATCCCACAGAAACCCTTTCACCAATGCATCCAAGAGAGATGGTTTTACCTGGGAGCAATGCTTCAAGCACGATATTGCCTTCCACTTTCTAAAGTTAAATTGACACCCAAATTTCTTATGAAAATTGCAATGAGCAATATAAAGGTGGAACTATAAGTAGAGCATGTCTAAGGAAGCACCATAACTTGACAATTGAAAGTGCTATATTTGTGTACAAGATCCATAGTTTGTGAGTCATTGTATATTTTTATTGCAGATCACTCCTAGAACAATATATTGATAACTTGGGGCTGATTTTATCTTAGAGTGGCACAGAGTACATAAGAACTTAATAAATATAAGCAGGAGTAAGCCATCTGGCCCCTCAAACCTACTCTGTCATTCAATAAGATCATGGCTGATCTTTTCATGTACTCAGCTTCACTTCCCTGCCCACTTACCATAACCATTAATTCCTTTACTCTCCAAAAATCTATCTATCTTTGCCTCAAAAACATTTAATGAGGTAACCTCAACTGCTTCATTGAGCAGGGACTTCCACAGGTTCAAAACCTTTTGGAAGAAGTTCCTCCTCAGCTCAGTGCTAAATCTGCTTCCCCTTACTTTGACACTATGCCCCCTAGTTCTAGTTTCACTCGCCAGCAGAAACAAATTCCCTCCTTCGATCTTATCTATTCCCTGCTTCGATCTTATCTATTCCCTTCATAATTTTATATGTTTCTATAATCTCCCCCTGCCCTTATTCTTCTGAATTCCAATGAGTATAGCCCTAGTTTACCCAATCTCTCCTCATAAGCCAACCTTTCAACTCCGGAATCAACTTAGTGAACTTCCTCTGCACCCCCTCCAATGCCAGTACATCCTTTTTCAAGCAAGGAGACCAAAACTGTTCAGTTTTCCAATGTGGCCTCACCAGTACCCTATAGTGCTGCAACATAACCTCCCTGTTTTTAAACTCCACCATCTAGCAATGATACAAGAAAAAGGGAAACAATTCTGCCCTTTGCAGCATAGAACTTAGGACATTTTAATTTCCATGCCACATCAGCTTACTGTCACTCTCTAAGCCCAAATTCACAAGAGAAATGGCAGCCATAAGCAGGATATTAGAGGCAGGAGGCACCTAAGTAAACTCAGTTTTTTGGATGCTTTTTAGTGTGATATCGCTTTCTGACAGGCTTTGCCTGGCAGGGAAGTTGTATATCTTCCCCATTCAGGTCTGCGATAAAGATCCAAGTCCAGTCCTGAGTTTGGTACTGGAGCACATGAACTGCAGTAGTTCAAGAAGATCATCACCAACGTCTCAAGGGCAACCAGGGACAGGCAATAAATGAGAGACAGAGATAGTAGGAACTGCAGATGCTGGAGAATCCGAGACAACAAGGTGCAGAGCTGGATGAACACTGCAGGCCAAGCAGCATCATAGGAGCAAAAAGGCTAACGTTTCAGGTTGGCCAGCCAGCAATGTCCAAGTCCAATGAGTGAATAAAAAAAATGCCTGGTATGCGCATTTAAAGAGGGAAGCAGCTTCTGAAGTTGTGGACTTGGGACACTTCCTTATGTTGTCTGTTGGTCAGAATCACTGCCTCCAACTAATTCTAGGCACAGCGCTACATTTGAATAATTTTTCTTCATAAGATGAATGTGATTTGGAAGTTTGAGGCAGAGCAAGAGCTAAGAAGGTATTGTGTAAATATTATTAATTCTCATTTGCAAAATTGATTCCAAAACTTTAGTTATGGCATTATTATTGTTCACTTTATTTTTGTTTTGATGTCCACTGTAGTCCCACGATACTGTTAAAAGTACAGAATTCTCAGAACAAATTGCCGAATGAGTTACTGAGTGTTTCAAACTGTTTTTCTTCCTCATTTATGCTCAGCTTGTATCAGAAAAATTTACCCATACAATGGTCGGTTGTTGCATTTGGCTACACAATGATATAATTTCAAAAGTAACCTATTGGTTTTCATGTGTTCTAAGATACCCTAAGTAGGCATGAGATAATTTCAAGACAGGCAACAAACTAACTATTTGTTACTGCGATAAGATACCAAAGTTTATCTCTCGTGATGACAATGTACGCTTTATCTAAATTTAAGAAGAACTAGGAAATTACATCATCAAATTGTCAAATTATATCACTGCTTAACATGTAAATTAGAATAAAATCTGTCTTTTACGCTCTCCCAGATCCCATCTGAAAACCCTTTCCAAAGACCTACCCCTCTGTAAGTATCTTCTGGCGACTTGTTATAGTTCCAGAAGCGAAGTCCAATAATAGTCTGTTGTCTATTGAAATTGATTGTGAGGGTGTGATTCTCTCCATAGGTGAAAGGAATCAGCCACATGTGTTCATCTTCCGAAGTGATGTTAATGCCATCAATTAGCCTTTAACAAATAAGTACCAGGCATCAATTAGCCCTTTAAACTATGGTTAGGTTGAATTTTTACTTTGTATCTAAGCTGTCTCCTTGACCTTCTTGTTTTTGAACACGTAAATTCCCTGCTCCCTTCAATTTCATTGTGTTTCATTTTTCATTTCAATTTCATCCTCAACCACCGCGTAAAACAGCAAACAGAATCTGAAGGGGAGACTTAAGTATGCAAAAATCAAGGTGCATTGGAGTAGGTTGATAACTACAAAAACTATTTTTATAATCTTGCAAACAGAATGTTTCTGTTATTTTTAGGTAAATGAAAAGGACACATGTGGAAGAAGATAGAGAGCAGAGTGAAAATAAGTGAGTTACAGAGAAAGAAGGGGAAATGCAGGGTTAACACGTGCAAGAGTACATAAACTGGTTGGAGGAAGTCAAGAAACAGAGGGTGCATCCATAAACACAGAGATGGACAGAGTGGTAGAAACGGCTTGGGGAATAATGACACAGAGATTGAGAGTGTGAATGAGAAAGAAGAGGAATGAATCAGAAGAAAATGGTGATGCCAATGAAACAGCAAGAAGAGACACAAACAGGATGGCATGCACTGTAAGAATTGAATAAAACAATGTGTGAGAGAGAGATTGCAAAAAAAGAAAGAGGATAAAAAGGACTGTAACAGGGGCTGGAGGTAAAGGTGGTAAAGGAAGGAAACAAGAATTAGATGGTGAAAAAGATTTAATCAGCTGGGATAGAATTAACCTAGCTTTAGGGATTAAGTTTATGGAGCTGGTAACCTTCCAGTCAAGCAGATACTGCAACAACTTGGCTAGATGTGACAGGTAGCTATTGTACATATTTCCTTTGGTACTACACCTAGGATGTGACCACAGCCCTTATCCAATGCTGTGCCCAAGCAAATTAAGATACTTGTTAATGTCACATGGACTTTTCTAAACTGGTCTTTATGATGGTGAAGTTATTTGGATTAAATGGAGAATCCACTTAGCATTCAAGAACATACAAAACCATCAACCTTGTTTCTTGCACTAATGTGCTGAGCTTTATCAGAGTTTAGGAAGTTGGTGCTCATTGAATCTCCTACTCCTACCTGTGTGCCTTTTTTCATCACATGCGGTGGCTTTTTCTGGCTTTTAAAAGTGTTGGGATTTTATAATGCTATTTATCACTCGTCACACTCATTTATAAATGGAGTGGAGATCTGGTCTCCTTCCTCTCCCATACAGTATCAATTATCGAGTATGCTGCTATGGAAAACTATTTTTTTCTAATACTGATTCATTTCCTTTACATTCAATATTGTTGGCTTAATAAGAGAATACTTGCTCTGAATTGGAATATTTCCATTGATAAGAATCTGAATATACAGCCTTAGGCTAAACGTCAAATTTTTGTTAATCTGTCTTTCCGATTGCCTAAATGCATGTTATGAATTCACCTTAACCATACAGGTTTAAATACCATGCCTCATTAATTGCTACCCGAAGATATGGATAGGAACAAATTTTAGTGAACTGAAATTTTATTTTTTTTTAGTGTAGCACTTCTTATGACCACTGGATATTTCAAAGTGCTCTAAAGCCAAACAAGTATTTTTAAAGCATGGTAACTATTGTAATGTAGGAAACGCATATAGCAAGTTCCCACAAACAGCAATGCAATAATGACCAGATAATCAGTTTTTGCACTATTAATTGAGTGATAAATATTGGCTGGAAATAACTCCCTGCTTTTCCTTGAAATACTGCCACGAGTTCTTTTGCATCTACCCAAGCATGCATATGGCACTTTTGACAGTGCAGCACTCCCTCAGTACTACACAGCAGTGTCAACCTTGACTTTGTGCTCAAGCCTGTCGTGGGACTTACTGCCAGATCTGTCTACTTAGGAGGCCAAGATACAGGGAACAACATTTTCCAAAACCAACAAAGTTCAAAAAGGACAAATCAACAAGTATACATAAAATAGACATTTGGGTCACTTGTAACAGATGACAGTGATCAGAGGTGAATCACGTTTAGGTTTTGGAATGTGTATATGATTTATGAACATCTGAGCATGTATTTTAAATAGCAATATAATCACTGAATTGATTTTATTGTCAAGTTAATGAATAAGACATACTTGTCTAATGTCCTACTGTCTTCATTATACTCTGGCAATTCATTTAGATCTCTCGGTGAAGCTTCAATATCATCCATTGTGACAGGTAGTGCCTGACCATCTTTGCCTACAACTTCCAGTCCAGTCAACCCAAGGTAGTGACAGTCTCCCCAAGTAACAGTGAAATTTAGCTGTATACCTGGAATTCAAAGAGAGAAACTTCAAGTCTATATAACAAAATGTTAATTTTTAAATACACAAACACACATAATTCATAAACAAGAAGAGGTACACACAACCTCGTACCAGTTCAACACAATATTTTAAAGCTACAGTGAAACTGTGATGTATCAAAATCAGATAGCCCGGAACTCCAGTTGTGTTAAAATTGTCAGTCATTCCTGGAAAAGAAAATGGGAAATCCAACAGGAGGATGCCCTGATAAATTGAAATTTCAGCCTGGCAACTCTGGATTCAAGCCAGCTTGTTAAGTGACCACACCAGCCAACTGGAGCAGAAATAGGCCAAGCCACTGCAAGAAATCGCAGTCCAGCCATTATCTGACACTGACATCTCTCTGAAATCCTGCAAATATGGCTGTGGAGACTGGTGACCCTAAAGAGTGTGGTGAAAGTCAGCCTGCACACCTACCATTTTCCCTAGCTGAAGCTGCAGAGGCAATGGAGATATCCTTGTTTTTGTGCCAACGTTTCCTCTTTCTATTTGAGCATCTCCCTCTGTACTGATACCAGTAGACCATAAAACAGAAATGTTCTGACATATTCCCTTCAGGCATTCTTCCCTATTCTAGCACATGGATTTGGTCTGCTCCTGCAGGCAGTCAGTCACTGGAGTGTGCCAAGTGTGCCGAGATTTTAATAAGAGGTGGCTGGTTCTCAGCGGAATTACACTGACAAGGAGAAACGTTGTTTTGTTGCCACTGGGTTGGATATCCAGTGCACAGCAAAATCGAACTAGAATCCTTTCTGTAATATTGTACTATTGTACTGTAATATTGTACTGTAATAATGTACCATTAAACTAGAAAAATCTGACAGATACATTTAAATTTCATTAAGATTCATCAGGACTCTATAAGACCAAGAATTAATTTCAAACGTAACCCTGATATAATCAGAACTTTGCTCGGTCAACCCATACTTACATTTCCCAGTGTACTCCCCTCGCATCTGACTGGCTGTTCCACCCAACAGGAATGGGGCTTGTTCTTGCTCCTGCAAATACCAATTTTAAGTAGTTAAGAGACTACATGCTGTTATCTCAAAAGGCTACATTTATGAATCGTTTGAGGCCACTTCTAACATCACGATTATCACTATTATTAGCTACATTTCCATCAGATTGGTTTAATTGCAACAGTAATACTTTGCTAACAGATTATGCCAAAATAAAAACTATGGTGATGTTTACCAGACACATCAAGTATCTTAAAAATAAAAGTTGCTTTTTGTAATTAAAAAAAATTAAGAATTGTTACATTGACCATCCTGTCTGGCGAAGTTGTAATCATTAAATCTGCTGATTATGTCACGATCACTGGATTGGCCAGTTTCTACCATACTGGTTCATGTGACTTCTTAGTAAACCCAATAGGCTTTCAATAATCAATCATTTTGATAACTTAAGCTTTCTCTACTGTGATCCTGCATTAAACCTGCCCGAGTGCTCTAAAAAAATATTTTGTGGGCAACAGTTGGTATGAGTTTTCATCACCCATACACAAACCGAGTGGCAACATTCCATTAGTAGCATTCCTTTAAGTGTTGAACTTAAAGGTGAATTAATTAATTCGTAGAATAGTTGTCTCACCTACTTTTCCTTTGATACATCATCAACACCTGATACAGGAAACGTTTTAGAGGACATAGTCACATTATATATCCATTGGCTGTATCTGTGCTAGGAAGGGAGCATGAAGACCCAAGGCTCTTTCTCTATTTTCCATCTCTCATTATTGTGCTTTGCTGTGATGTAGCGCGATGTAGGTTTTGCTAATGTAATTCTTTTTTCTTTTAGCTACACACAAGCAATTTCATCCACAATGTATGTTAATACTGGCAACAACGGCAGGGCCTTCTGCTCTTAAGATGAAATGCATCCCTTCCAAAATCTACTTTTCAACTCTGGAACCCAAATTCTCAGCACAAATAGTAAGTATTTTCTTTGCCGATTGGACGATAAAAGTGCCTAAATCTACTGCAATTACTCCTTGCAAGAGACACAGGATCGAATTGGAGAAAAATAGAGAAAGAGAGAAAGGATATCACTGAAACAGATTACCTAAGTTATTAAAATTGCAAGGTAGGAAATGCAGCAGCCAACGTGTACAAAGGAAACTCCTACAAGCAGCAATGCGATAACATTCAGAAAACCTGTTTTAATGATGTTGACTGAAGAAGAAGTATTGCCCAGGACTAAGGAGGTAAACAGTTTCTCAAGTCTCGTCATCCAATTTCAGTCTTTCATCCCTCGATGATAACTATCTAGTAAATCACCTCTACACCTTATGCAAGGCTTCCTCTTGTGTGCTGCCCAGAACTGATCACAATTCAAACTGGGGCCTAACCAATTTATTTTATTATAAATGTTTAACACAAATCCTTTGCTTTCATACTCTATGGGCAGGATTTTCCGAATGGCAGGGTTTCCCTACACCATCATCCTGGTAGTGCATCCTCAATTACAACTGCCCCACAATCATTTAATGCTCTAAGGAATGTTCATTTGTTGGAGATGGAACTTCTAACCCTCACTCAGGAGAAAGGCCCACCTCACAGCCAACTGACATCCAGCACCTGAAGTCCCTGTAGCAGCACTGGTCAGGACTGTGACTACACTCAGTCTCCAGATTCAAAGTCTCAGAGTTCAGAACCAGGGTAATTCCAGCTGGTCTCATGGCAACCAGGGAAAGTGTGACAGTGAGAGACAGGAGAGGGATCGGGCTTATTAGTGGGGAGGATCCACAGAGAAGAGGAGTAGACCTTGCGGAGAAGTGTGGAAAGGGGGCATTTGAAGGTGGTGTTCCTACCCCTCTCAAATGCCCAAGTTGCCTGCCCCATCACTGAACTCCTTCTGCCAGGCTCAGCAATGGCCTAGTGATATTATCCTCCACGAGTAACCCAGAATTGTTCTGGGGACCTGGATATGAAACCCACCATGGCAGATGATGAAGCTTGAATTTAATAATGAAACAGAATTAAGTGTCTAATTATAAAGCCAAGCATCTGTACTTTTTAAGTAACCTTCTTGAAGTCCTACGCAACTGTCATTGTGTGCCTTCCCAAGGTTTGTTTCTCAACCCCCTCTAAAATGATCCTATTTCCTTTACACTCCTGCTTCTCATTTATCCACCAAAATTAATCATGCCACTTAATTACATTAACTTTCATCCACTGCAAATCTCCCCTGTTTTGCCAATCTATCTATGCCCTTCTGAAGTTGGTTACCATCCTTCTGCCTATGCATAATATTTACAAGTTGTATTTCACGTGCAAATTATGCTCTATATATGCAAGTCCAGCTCATTAATATATATTAAAAAGTCCCATCACTATCACCGAGGGATATGACTACACACTTTCCACCAGCCAGGCAAACACCACATTTCTAAGCCATGGAGAATTCTGCATCCATGCAGTCACTGCCACTTTAATCCAAAGGGCTTAAATTTTTCAAACAGATCTATTATGTGGTATTAAAACCAGAGTTATTTCTGGAAGTGACAGTGTCCAGGGTGCTGAAGTCACCACTTATAGACTTACCCGTTCACCCTCTGTTCTAAAGCCGGCCTGTGTGAATGGCCTCTCATCTCCTTCACCATCTGCAGTACTAGGTCTATTGAGTTCTTCCTCAAATGTGAGCGGTTGAGTATAATCAATATTAGCTGCAAACGTTTCATCGTATTGAGACATTGCATCCAGAATCTCGTCATCTGTAGTGAAAAGTATAGTATCTCCAAACTGTTCCAGAGCTGGAATAAGGAACAAAAACAAGTGGGTCCAGAAGAAATATTTCCTCAACATAAACAAATTAAAACAGCTGCAAAGTTAACAAAAAAAATTCGCAGCAGGGTGAAAAGGTTCTGCACATAAACAATAGATATGGAAAGTCTATTAGAATCACATTTTCAATGTTTTATTTCTACGACCATCAAAAACAATGTTTTCACTTGTAAAGTTATTAAAACAATTAAATTAACTCCCCTTCCTATGCCAGAGGACTAGGCAAAACTTGCTCTAGCCTCCAGACTGGACTTCAACCTGCAGAGACTTGTGCAGGTAGATAGGAATGAGGTTAAAAACACATTTTATCAAATTTTCTATCCTACACTCATCAGGATAATTTGCAAGATGGTTCTAGGATGGCAGCAGAGTAGCAGGGCTGCATGTGGGCTCTTGCCTGGGGCTCACCGCTCCCACCTGCTTTCTTTGGGTTTTTTTCTTTTCATTTCTGCTCTTTTCTTTTGATTTTCTTTTGTTTTCATTTGCAGGTTAGTCGGTGGCATTGGCACGGCAGCAAGAGTGGGAGTGGCGGTGGTGGCAGTGCAGCAAAGGTGTCCTCCCAGTGTTCGGGGTGGAACACTGTCCTCCCAGTGTTCGATGGCAAAGCTTCTCCAGCGATCAGAGGCAGCAGCAGACTCTTAAAGGTGGTGATGACTCGAGGAGGGCAGCCAGAGTAGGACTCTTGGTGCAGGGTTGGCCCGGCCTGGCAGTAGAGGCAGAGACTCCTGGAGGCAGTAGGCCCAGAGCAGGAACTTCTGGAGTCATTGAGCCAGTAGCGGAGCAAGGGACTCCCAGATATTGGCGAGGCAATGGCGGTAGCAGAGCCGGGGACTCCTGGTTGCGTGACGAGTGTGGGTTCAGCAGGAGACTTGACAGCGGCATTGGTGAGTTGGTGAAGAGATGATGCCTAAAGAGCAGTGACTCCTGTGTTGGTGGGTCCAGTGCAGGTAGTGGGGAGGCGGTGGAGGAAGAGTGGCAGCGAGAGTGTTGTTGGTGAGCCAGCTCAGGACTCGGGGTGGAGGTGGTGGAACTTGATAGAGAATATAGAGGAAACACCTTCTCTATCACTCTATCAAGGTTCACTCTGTTAAGGTCTCTCAATATTCTGTAAGTTTCGATCAGATTCCGCCCTCATCCTTCTAAATTTCATCCGGTACAGACCCAGAGTCCTCAACCATTCCTCATGTGACAATCTCCTCCTCCCTAGGATCATTCTTGTGAACCTCTTCCGGACCCCTTCCAAGGCCAGAATTCGTCCTTAGATACGGGGTCCAAAATTGTTTTCAATATTCCAAATGTGGCCTGACAAGAATCTTATACAGCCTCAGCAGTACACCCTGGCTCTTGTCTTCCTTCCTTCTCAAAATGAATGCTGACATTGCATTTGCCTTCCTAACTGCCAACTGAACTTGTTTGTTAACCTTAAGACAATCCTGAATTAGGTCTCTTTGTACTTCAGATTTCTGAAGCCTTCCCCATTTAGAACATTGTCTACACCCCTATCCTTCATATCAAAGTGTATAATCTCACACTTTCCCACTTTTTATTTCATCTGCCACTTGTCTGCCCAATCTCCTAGCCTGTCCAGGTTCTACTGCAGCCTCCCTGCCTGCACAACACTACCTGTCCCTCCACCTATCTTTGTGTTATCTGCAAACTTAACAACGATGTCCTCAGTTCCTTCCTCCAGATCATAAATGTATAATGTGAATAGTTCTGGTCTCAACACTGATTCCTGTGGAGTTCCACTCGAAACTAGCTGCCATCCTGAAAAAACCTTTTTATCTCCATCTCTGTCAACTGCCAGTCAGCCAATCCTGTATCCAGCCCAGCACCTTGGGCTCTTATCTTATTTAGCAGCCTCCTGTGCAATACCTTGTCAAAGGCCTTCTGGAAATCCAAACAGATCACATCCACGGGCTTTCCTTTGTCTAACTTGCTCATTACCTCCTCAAAGAATTCTATCAGATTTTTCAGGCATGACCTTCCCTTGACGAAGTCTTGTTGACTATTTTAACATGCATTTCCAAATATCCCGCAATCTGGCTCTGGCTCCCTGACTCCAGTGATTCCTGAAAGATCACCACCAATGCATGCATGATCTCCTCAGCTATCTCCTTCAGAACCGTGGGGTGTAGTCAATCTGATCTGGGTGATTTATCTGCCTTCAGACCTTTCAGCTTTTCCAGTACCTTCTCCTCAGTGATCATCACAACACTCACCTCTGCCCAATAACTCTCTTGTGCAAAACTCAAAATACGTAGGGCTAAGTCTTGTCAAATTTTGGCTAAGTGTCAATTTTATTGAGTTTCATGGAGCATTTCCTTCTGTGAGGCCCAGTGAGATTTCTCATCACTGCCCACATCATTTAGCGCCCTATGAGATTCCACCCACAGTATCCAACATGATTCTATGATTGGACCTCATTTGCTAAATAATCCAGAGTGCACTGAGATATACACTGACAAATAATTTAAGATTGTCAGTCAGGCTCGTAGAGTGCTGCACTTGCGTGTGCTGGAAGCTTACATAAACTAACACACAGAGCTTGTCCTTACAGACAGAAAAAACATGTACACACATTACACTTGTTTCAGCCTAACAAAATAGCAACAGCCTTCTGTGGTTCATTTCTCAGGGTAATGCCATGACCAATCTACCCACTATAAATCTGAACAAAGCTTTCAGTTAATTGCAATTATCTAACTGCGGCATTCTCCATGAAAATATCTGTATCATTCAGAGTGCACTTGCCAATCAATCCAAGCTCAATCTTCTCATACAGTAAAAAGGCTGTTTTCCCTTTACATTGGTGTTTCTCATGAATTGCCTTGATGAGTGCAGGTGAAAAACCTAAACAAAATGTTTCGTTTTTCAATAATATCCAATAGTGTACTTCCGCATGCCTACTTAAAAAAGTACTTACCTTCTTGTAATATTCTTTCAAAAATATTTTCCTTTAAAAAGATCTGACAGATCTAGAAGTTTATGAATAGGTTTTACAAGATAAACAACAAGGAAATGTTTTTACCGTTCACAAATCCAAAACAAAGGCTATAAATAAATAATAGTCACCAATGAATATAAAAATGGAATTCGGGGGAACCTCCTTGCCCAGGGAGTGGTTAAAAGGTGGGATGCATTATCACAAAGGGAGTAACTTAAGTAGCACAGATACACTTCAAATAAAGAGATAAGGAAGAAAGGAATTAAATATAAGGATGTTGTTGAATGAATAAGGTGCAAAGAAAAGTTGGTTTTAAATGTTGCATGAACGATATAATTAGTATTGACTATTGTTGCCAAATGTAATGCTGCAACTTGATTGAATAATTGTTTACTTGATGCTAACAAGAATAAGAAAACATTATTTGCCTACCTGTACCGAATCAATTTAAACACAGTACAGAGAAAAACAATGAATAGAACATAAGTTACCTCCATTTAAAGTTCCCGATGCCTTGGCTATTTCTCCTCGAAAGATCAGTTTCCCATCCAATAAGATTTCAACATCTTTAATACCACGGAAAGAATGTATTCTCGATTTGTTGTAATTCCAAATTCGAATCATGGCCAAGTGACAGTAATTTACAAAGTCAATATAGATCAAATGGGGCCTTCCTGGAGTGAAAGGTGCAAGCCAGAGATGCATATCATCTTGCGTCCTGTTTACACCATCAATCAAATTTGAAATAACTCTTGGATCTTTGCCATAAGCAGGTAAGATGTTAATATCTGCTGGATCTGCTCTTATTTGTGCTATTTGTACAGGTTCTCCACTTGAACTGAACATTTCTATCCCATTAAGTCCAACATAATGTCTATCACCCCAAGTTGATGTTATATTAATAACTAAATGACAGCCAAAAGGCAAAACTGGAATTTCAAAATCATCACTCCCGTCATCATCTCTTTCAAGGTCAGTTGTATGCTCTTCCTTTTCCTCTTC